GATCACCTCCCGCCCTCCTCCCACGCCCACGGCGCACACCCCCGCTGACCACTCGAATCTACAGTCGTTCCAGAAAGATGCTATTCTGCGCCAGATGCGCGAGTTCAAGCGCGAGAAGGCTACCGTCGAGTCACAACTGAACGAGCTGGAGGGCCGCTCCAAGTACCACGACGACCACCTCCGCACAATCGACGCTTGGTTTGATCAGGTCAGTATACCCCTGGAAGTTGATTGAGGTGATGCTAATTGCTGCTTAGCTTATCGATGAAATCAAACTCCTGGGCGCCGAGAAACTACCTGCATCATCAGGCGACTCCGATGCCTCTCAGTCGGTGCCCGCTGCGCTGCTGTGCGAGGACACCCAGACGTTCAAGAAACACCTCGCGGACCGCAAAGAAAAGATCCTTGCATCTCTTTCCGACCTCTTTGCGAGATATCCTGCAAGCAGTCCTGAGGTTGCGAAACTCCAACAGAAGCTGTCAGAACTCTTGGTCACGGAGAAGGATCACGTTGTGCGATTGCAACGCGTCACTACCGAGAAAGAACAACTATCTGACCGGTTGGACACGGCTACTCATCGCTACCTGGTCGCTGAGAAGAAGCTCGATCGCTTGAAGAGCGCCCAAGTTCAGAAACTCGAGCAGCAAGCGCATGGGACGAGCGCACCTGCAAAGGAAGAGGCTCCCTCTACCAGCAACGGAACAGAAGCCATTAACGGCACCTCACCCGGACCGATCAGTGAAGAGCTGGAAACTGCAAAAAACCAGGCCATAGCCGAGGCAGCCAAGAGGAAAGAGCAACTTGAGCAGATCGAGCAGGAAAACAAGAAGCTCACTGAGGAAGTCTCAGCATTGAAGGTCAAGCTTACCGGATTGTCGGATGATGACTATGCGAAGACCGATCTCTTCAAAGCTATCAAGAACCAGCATGAAGACGTGATCAAGCGGATCAATAATCTCGAAGCCACCAACATTTCCTTACGGGAAGAAGCGCAAAAGTTTCAAGCAGAGCGAACAGCCTACAGAATTAAGGTGGACGATGAGGTGCGCGCTAGTTTGGCAGACAGTGCAAGCCACGTTTCGCAAGCGGAAGCGAACTGTGCTCGCATTCGAAACGCCCGTGACGAACTAGCCACCAAGAATAACCTCTTGGAAGCCAGCCACAAGGATTCTAAGGATTCTATCGAGCAGGCGAAACAGCTTGCGAGCGCATGCGACAGCCGCATTGCTGCACTCGAATCGGAATGCGAGCGACTGCGACTCCAGATTGCGGAGCAGCAGAGTTCAGGAGACCAAGTAATGTCTGGCTTAGACGACTTGACACCGGAGCAGCTGCGTAGCAAGATCTCTAAGCTCGAGAGCCAATGCAAGATTCTGGGCAACGAACTCCCGTCCATGGAGTCGGCATGGAAAAAGGCGCAGGCGATCGCGAGCAAGAAGATCACCGAGATCGCTGCGTGGGAAGAGAACATCGCCAAGGCACATGCGGACAAGGCCAAAGCGGATCAAAAGTTCTTCGCAGCCATGAAGACCAAAGGAGAACTCGAACAACAAATCCGCATCCTCCGTGCCCAGGCTACCAAAGCCACGGAAGTAGTGGCGCAGTTGAAAGAGGCGGATTCCTTGAGCCGGTCACTGGTCGACAAGCTGGAGAAGCAATGTGCGGAAATGCGATCGCAAATGGACGATCTTTCTACCCAGCACCGCCAGCTGCAACAAAAGGTCAGCGAGAATGCCATCACTTCCGAGGGTCATGTCAGCCAGATAGCGGAGCTCAAGAAGGTCGTCGAGGCCAAGGACGCGACATGTCTCGCGGCAAAGCACGCCCAACGCGAATCGGAAACCGAGCGAGACAAGCTTGCTGCACAAGTGACTGGACTGGAGAAGCAAGTGCAAATCTACAAGAAGAAGAGCACGGCCAACCAGAGCTCTGAAGTGTCGACGATGGAGCTGTTGATCCAGTGTCAGATCTGCAAGAGCAAGCTCAAGAACACGGTCATCAAGACTTGTGGGCACATGTTCTGCGACCAATGCGTGCAAGATCGACTCACCAACCGCGCGAGGAAGTGCCCGAATTGCGGCAAGGCCTTTGGCAGCAACGATACCATGCGCGTCCATTTGTGAGAGCTCTGCAAACCGGATACCCTTTTCTTATTCCCTGCATTTTGCCACATGTACATCACCAGCTACATTTCCTTCGGTACCCTTTCTTACAAGTTTCCAATAGCGTTGAAGGCGAATTTTGAGGCCAAGCACGGAGCAGTGTCTGGAACGTTGGTGTTTTGCGGGTGGCTTTCTGCCAAATTCATGGCGTTGGTGTTCGGCAGCGCAAGAGCGCGAGACAATGTACGATGATAGTTGCGATGCATGTTCAGACGACATGTGTTAGCATGTTTTACTAGATGCACGGAGTTGGTCTCTCGGTCGGCAATGTTTCCGTGGATGGGTTTAGATAAATTCCGTTGGCTCTGCGGAGCTCAGGCCTGGGATGGCCCAGAGAAAGAATGCAAACAAAGATACCATGTCCAATCTGTGTTATATGGTGTGATTCTATAGCCTTTGACTCACACTGGGCTGGTACCTTTGCTCGGTGCACTAGGCAAAGCGTTCATTGCGAGCCAATCATGTGAAAGCTGTCATTTCAAACTGAAGGCCGGATCTGGGATGTTTAAGTGGGCGGGCCCGTGAACGTAGGGATGTAAGGCTGAAGGCGCAGGGTATGACGTTCCTCGCCGTTGCCCCACGCGACAGGCTACCGTAAACACCCTTGAACAAGACCACTATAACCACGACCGCAATCCGTAACAAGATCCTTTCAGACAGCACCTCTTCAGCACAAACTACAACATCTGCAACTTGCTACAAGACCCAGAAACCATCTAAATCTGCACACTTTCGATCAAGTTTTCCACCTTTGCAACAACCGCAACTACCCTACCGCAATGGCCACCAACGTCCTCAGCCCTCGCGACACCAACGCGCAAGTCAAGCCCATGTCTTCCTCAGAGAAAGCCGCCGAGAAGAAGGACTCCAAGAGCCTCGACTACCATCGTCAAGTTCTGCAGTCACGTCTAGACAACGGACAGTGAGTTCGAACATTTTCATATCGCACTGCGCATCACTAACGATACTCCAGAGAGCAGAAGTTTGTCTCGCCATCGGACGACATCATGAGCCCCGCTACACAGAAGTTGCAGGCTTTCAAGACCAAGCACGCCATGAAGAAGTAAGTTGCTATGCAACTGTATATCAGCAATGGAGTATAGACTAACGCACGTCTAGGTCGAAGCCGCAGACGCTGTTTAAGAAGACGAGCGCGAAGAACTTCGAGTCGAACAAGGGCAGCGGCACACTCATGTTCGCCGATATCCCCAAGAAGGACGCGAAGGAAGAAGACGCGTAGACATGGCCTCCCAGCCATTCTTGTTTAGCGTGTACAGCATCGGTTTTCTTCTTGGGCGCAATTGTCATCTGTATACCCTGTTGCGGCTTGGATGCCTTTGGATGATGGGCTGGTTCTGGAGTTTTGATTACGGATGAATGACTACGAGGCTCATGACTAGATATATTGATGAGACGAGACGAAATGGAACAACGTTATCATGCACTACCATCTTCAGACTAGGTCGATGCATGTGTAAAGCTGCATGCGCCCAAATGGATACCCCGTCCATCTTGGGCATAGTCGCCGAGGCGCATGTTGTACCCTACTCTAGCCGCATCATCGTTCCCACGCACACGATGACACAACCACCGTCGGAGCAACAAGCCGTCCAAGACGAGATAGCCGATCTCGAAAGACGGCTACACGATGCAAAAGCCCGATTGAATCCAGACAGTGTCGCAGCGACACCATCAACCCCCGCAAATGACGCAGGTCCGTTATCGCTCACACCCAGCCACCCAACTCCCAACCTAACACCCCCCAGCCCTCCACGCGCTCCTCCTCCTCGCCGACTCCGCGCTCCCACTAGGTTCCTTCGCCTTCAGCTCAGGTCTAGAATCCTATCTCGCGCACCACAAGCCGTCGCCGCCGTCGGCATCACAGTTACCCGCGTTCCACACCTTCCTCCGCTTATCGCTCTCAACACTCGCAAGCACATCGCTGCCCTACGTGCTAGCCGGGTACCGCACGCCGCAAGCCATCGAGACACTGGACAATGACTTCGACGCGAGTACACCGTGTACCGTTGCGCGACGGGCGAGCATAGCACAGGGTCGCGCGTTGTTGGCGGTTTGGGATCGCAGTTTTAGGGCGCAGTATAATGGGCCTAAGGCGACGGCGGAGGAGTATGCTGAGAGCGGGGGCATGGGCAGTGAAGTCGCGATTAAAACACTCACGTCCTTCTCCGCTGCACTGCGCACTTCAGAGCATATCAACGTGCATCTTGCGCCGCTGTGGGGTCTCGTCACGAGTTTCCTGGCTGTTCCGCTGCAACAAGCTGCGTACTTGTTCCTCTTTTCACATGCGCGCACTGTGGTTAGTGCGGCTGTGAGAGCGAGCGTTATGGGTCCGTATCAGGCGCAGGCGGTTCTTGCGAGCGCGGAGCTGCAGGATAGGATTCGGGGGCTGGTGGATGAGGGGTGGGATAGGACGGTCGAGGATGCGGGGCAGAGTGTGCCCGTTATGGATCTTTGGGTGGGGAGACATGAGAAGTTGTATTCGAGGATCTTTAACTCGTGAAGACTGAACTGATCTGAAAAGCAATGCGGAAGGGCTAGCGATGCATGAAACCGGACAGATGCGCGTGCTACCTCAAGCCTCCTTGGTTTGTTGGTTTCCTACCTTTCGGCTGTAACCGACGCATCAAGCCTTTGCATCCGTAGGTTACTAAATCTACGAAGTTGATGGTGTTCAGATAGACTTCCATTTCAGCCACTCGTTGTCCAATTATGACCTCGTGGGCTCTCGATTCGCGCATGGAGAGTTCAGCTTACGGCGCGTGACTACAGTGCCCCAACGGCGCGGCAAGGCAACGATGATAAGATCTTTATCTTGACATGTTTGCTGTTTCACAGGAGCACAACTTGCTGGTTGATGATGCCCTTGGAGGGACTTTCATGCTTACTTGTCTCCGCTTTACATTGTCAGTGCTGGCACCATGTTCCTTTCAATCCTCACCAACTGGCTCACAGCCACCATCTTCTCTAATCCCTCGAACAACGCACCCCAGTCCCGTCTCCTCCACCCCACTATCAAATTCCCGTAGATCCAACGCTTCGCCTCAATCGGCGACTCCTACGCCGCGGGCCTAGGATCCGGCACACGTCTCGACTGGTCATGCTCCCGCTACACCTCCTCCTACCCCAACATCTTACAAACCACACTCCTCGGCCCTAACCCAAACCGCACCCACCAGTTCCTCGCTTGTTCCGGCTCTACCAGCACTGAGATCTTGGAAACCCAGATCCCGTCTTTACAGGATAACCTCGACCTCCTCACCATCTCCGCCGGCGGAAACGACATCGGCCTAACCCCCATACTAAGCAACTGCATCTACCAATTCTATCTGTCGGGCGAAGGTGCATGTCAGACAGCTATTAACGAAGCACGAGCTCGGATAGCAAATGAAACAGAACTCTACCACAACGTCACACTCCTCCTCAACGCCTCAAAACCAAAGATGAACCAAGACCACGGCGTGATATACTACACAGGCTACGCCTCCTTCTTCGGCGCCTCAGATTCCACCTGCGACAACATCACCTGGGCCGTCTGGAAAGACGTCGAATGGACAAAACAATACCTCACGCGCGCACTACGCCAGGAGCTAAACGACATGGTCCGCGCTGTTAACGCTATTTTATTCAAGGCCGTTAGGGACTCTGGTCCAAACATCCGTTTTGTGGATTGCGATGCAGAGGTGACCAAAGTACGGGGTCGGTACTGCGAATCCCGTGTCCTGGAACCAGCTCCTAATCGCGCTGATCTTGTCTTTTATGAATGGAACACCGTTGATATGGGCGAGAATAGGACGGAGTTGCTGAATGGGACGGGCGGTGGTGTGCCGAAGGGGTTCGTTTGAGAGTGGGATTGCGGGGGATGTTGGTAGGACGGTGGGGGAACATCCTGGGTGGGGGTTGATCCTAAGAAGGGGTTTTTGGTCAGAAGAGGAAGGGGGGTAAGAAGGGAGTAGAGGGAGAAGGGTGGTTGGGTGATGGGATTCATTGGTTGTTGCCGGATAGTTATAAGAGGGTTTTTTATTCTTGATAAGAGACTAGAGTCTATGCCAAAGTAGAGTCTACAACGCGGTAGTAGTAACGCAGTAATTTACATAGTAAGGGCTATACTTAGCCTATGTAACGCAGTAAATAAGTAGTAGGTTTTTGTAATACAAACGCAATATACTTCTTTAAAACATCTTGCAGCAACGTTGTAGGCGGCGACTCGCGGTGGAATTGGAGGGTTTTTCATTTGAGACCTAGGGGGCATGGGATAGTAGCGAGGCTGCTTGTTGAGGATTTGGAGAGGGAGGGGTGGTGAAAGGGGTGGTGAGAGGGGTGGTGAGATGGAGGACCTTTAGGTTTGTTCTACTTCTTAGATGACAGTACTGGTGGCATCCACGTCTTCTCCTTCGACTTCTCTCCTTTCATCGCCATCCCCACCCCCATCCAACCCACCATCCCAATCCCAATCCACCCCCACCCCCTCCTCCCTCCCCCTCCCATCCATCTCCCCAATCCTCCCCCTAACAT